AGGCTGGGAGAACAAGAAGGACCTTCCAGTAAAAGTGGATTAATAACATACTTGAACGCCCCAGACAGGGAGAATGCAACAGGACTGCTAAAACTAATTTTCTTTAGACTCCATGGTGGATTCCAGAAGTAGAACAGGCGGAAAGACAAAGAAAACGGCATTGAAGCAGCTAGAGAAAGTACGAAAGACACCTCTAAGCTCACGACAGGAAGGGGAGACGGCCGAAAATATGGAGGAAAAAAAAGACGAGGTGGAGGCTTTCAAGCGCTGTGCTGCAGAGGCCAAAAGATCAAAGTGTCAAACTTTTGTGAGTTATAAGGGAGGCGATAAAAGGTTTAAACAAATTCTGGAAACTGTAAAGACAGATGGAAGGAACAGATCGGCCTATGACAGTGGTAACTATTTGTAGAGACAATGGTGTGCGTGTGACAATAGTGGAAGATATCAAACACATTTTGAAAAAGGCAAAAGACACTGCACCAGGGCCTGATGGGGTCAGGTATGACAACATGAAAGCTTTGAGCGATGTAGACCTGACGGAGATGCCCGACTGTTTTAACCGCATGCTGCGTGGATTTTTATCATTGTATGGGGCGTCGCAGGTCGATCCACCCTAAAAAGTACAGACGGCAGGCGTAATGCTGACCACATTATCCATCTAGTGCCGATTGGTCTGAAAAAATATGGGTGCTCTTCCCATATGCCCAATGCGCATAAAGGCGGGAAAAGGGATCTTTACCTATTTACTTTAGAGATGGACCACACAGAAGACGAGCCACGGAAATATCGGAGACACTGAAAAGTTCTAGCCTTGAAGCGAAGAGAAGGGTCCGTTCCAGGGATCTGTTGGTGTCCTAATGCTGACAGGCGTTCCAAGAGTAGAAAACAGAAGAAGACGATACAGCTAGGATTATATGCAATGCACTCTTCCAACAAAGCCATTGGCACAAGTGGGATGTCAGGTTTGGTGTACACCGCCCCATAAAGTACATAATCAGACTAAACAAACAACCATTTTCACGCTTGTAGCGCATCAGGCATACGATGCAAGACTCATAGTTTTATAGAGCAATCGGCATTCACCACGCCGGCCGCCTTTACTTTCATCAAAAAGTACAAATATTAGTTGGCAAATACTGCAGTCCCTAGTGAGAATAATAATTAATGGTAACTTGTTTTCAGTGTTAACAGATATATGATACCTGGATTAAAAAGCCATAGGTATCCGGTTAGACAAGAACACTGACCCGATCTCTGATTTCGGTGATAGTGTGGGATGGATAAAAATGACAATGTACGCTTATCAGCAGGGCACACGATGATGATGACGAGGATGATGACGATGATGATGATGTTATGATACAGCAGTATGTATCCACATAATACCATATTTATATGTGTGTTGTGACTAGAACTGAGCACATATAGATCTCATATCTAACATAGAAGAAACGAGCTATTATCTGGGAGTTGCTACTCATCAAACAAATAATGAAACAGACATTCATCCTTCTCTGGGTTGTAAGGTTGGAATCGTTTGTGTAAATCCATCTCTTTGTCGTGATAGACTTCTAGCAGTGGCAGTTCCAAGAGGCTGTTCTTAAATCTGAAATCAAGGAGAACACATATATTTGTTAGTTGCCCGTTTGTGTTTGGTTTGTTAGTGTTCTCTCGACACAACATTGTTTCTTGACACTACATATCATTTGTCTGTGCCATGTCCTTTCATGTCAACAGGAAATCAATAGATTAGAGTGTCACGTGGACAAGAAATAATTATGGAGTCAGACAGACAATGCACAGACTCAAATGTCACATGAACCAGAACAAAGAAATAGACTAGAATGTTACACAGAAAACAAGAGGAAAGAAACAGAAGAATGTTACACAGACGACAGAAAAACAATGAGGAACAGGTTATAATATTCCATAGAAACATAGAAACAAGAAACATGGACAAGAAAGAAAGCTTACAATCTTAGATGTAAGAGAAACAAATTTTCGTGCGGATTTTAATTAAAATGAACGGCCGGCGCGCTTGCTCAGCTGGTTAAACCAGCCTGCGCCGCGACCGAGTGACAAATTCCTGGTCCGAGTTCGCGCCGGGGGGTAGTAAAAACAACCCACATATTTCCCAGATTTACGGTATCTATCAAGGCCGAAGGGTTGCGATATCCATAGTACCGAGCCAAAGGGTTTGTGGATCAATGAAAAAAAAAATTATTATGAACATTCTTATTGTTACTTTTTCACAGACCAGACTCTGGTTAAATGCAGAAATGAAATGAACGATTCACAACAATATTCAATGACTGAAAATCAGGCCTGGAATAACAAACATGTATATCAACACACCATCAGAAGGAAAACACATTAACACTATGGAGCAGACGATAATCCTGATATACTGGCCATGGTTGCTTCTCTGTGATATGCCCAACGCTCTCGTGACTGCAACAACACAAACATCCTTCGGTAAATGCAGACACGACATCTGGCGATCTCTAGCGACGAAAAAAGTGATAAACAGCGGTACGTTGTTATACGTACTTAGTTTGTCCCTGATTTCAGATTGCATTTACTTGTTTTAGGATAAGACGCAGCCACATGTGGGCCACGCCGAACATGATCACGTAAATGTCGGGGACACGGGACCCTCACAACATCTAGCTTGTCATACATCATTTGACCACCAAGTTTTGCAGAACCAGCCAGTCTAACTGTCTGCTCATTTTAACACAGCGGCATCACTTAGAGAAAATATCCAAAGGACGTTTACTACCCGTGACCTCTGAAGTAATGCTTGCCACTCTGCACGAAGCATGTCTGTCTCCACTTTTTTCAACACGCTTTGTGAGTTACTGGAAAAGGAGGAGGAGATGTTATTGTTAGGAAAGAGGGTTACCTTCCAATTTAGGAATCTGCAATTCTGGTGTGTTTAAAGCATCTATTGTAGCAGCGCCGAAATATTGATGATTCAAAAGATTGCCGGTACTGCCACCCCACCCATTGAGTACCGCCAGAAACAAAAGCCCTGGTCAGGACAATTATTTTTCTTCGATCTCCCCCCCCCCCTCCCCCTCCCCCCCGTCTTTTCAAAAACCTATACCAGTAAACAAATCACACTATAAACCTAACACATTTTTGTGAACTGCAACACAGAAGAACAGATAGAAATGTGAACCACTACATTCTAAAATGACTATTGAATAAAAGTGACAATTTAAATATAAAATGACACAATCATTGCCAGAGCACTGCAGACCGAGAAGAAGACATATGACATTCTACAAGACATCGAAAGGGGGGGGGGCGGTTGATGGAAAGGTGGGAAGAAGGTTGACCAGTATGAGGGTGGACACTAGATATTACAAGCACACCGGGCATGGAGATACACGACACGGAGGAGCTGGCATGACCAATAGTCTTTCGAGGAAAAGGGTGAGGGAGAGGGAGGGTAGACTGTAAATGAGCAGTTGCATGCTGGCCAGGAAAATCTTGTTAACGATAAAAGTGGCACAGTAACAAAGATATGGCAATACACAGCTGCCGGGATGTGTGTACAACCAAGTATACAACCAAGTATACAACCAAGTATACAACCAAGTATACAACCAAGTATACAACCAAGTATACAACCAAGTATACAACCAAGTATGTAACCAAGTATACAACCAAGTATACAACCAAGTATACAACCAAGTATACAAACTAGTATGCAACCAAGTATACAACCAAGTATGCAACCAAGTATACAACCAAGTATACAAACAAGTATACAACCAAGTATACAACCAAGTATGCAACCAAGTATACAACCAAGTATACAACCAAGTATGCAACCAAGTATACAACCAAGTATACAACCAAGTATACAACCAAGTATACAACCAAGTATACAACCAAGTATGCAACCAAGTATGCAACCAGGTATACAACCAAGTATACAACCAAGTATACAACCAAGTATACAACCAAGTATGCAACCAAGTATACAACCAAGTATGCAACCAAGTATACAACCAAGTATGCAACCAAGTATGCAACCAAGTATACAACCAAGTATGCAACCAAGTATGCAACCAAGTATACAACCAAGTATACAACCAAGTATACAACCAAGTATGCAACCAAGTATGCAACCAAGTATACAAACAAGTATACAACCAAGTATGCAACCAAGTATACAACCAAGTATACAACCAAGTATACAACCAAGTATACAACCAAGTATACAACCAAGTATGCAACCAAGTATGCAACCAAGTATACAACCAAGTATACAACCAAGTATGCAATCAAGTATGCAACCAAGTATACAACCAAGTATACAACCAAGTATGCAACCAAGTATACAACCAAGTATACAACCAAGTATACAACCAAGTATACAACCAAGTATGCAACCAAGTATACAACCAAGTATACAACCAAGTATGCAACCAAGTATACAACCAAGTATACAACCAAGTATGCAACCAAGTATACAACCAAGTATACAACCAAGTATGCAACCAAGTATACAACCAAGTATACAACCAAGTATGCAACCAAGTATACAACCAAGTATACAACCAAGTATACAACCAAGTATACAACCAAGTATACAACCAAGTATACAACCAAGTATACAACCAAGTATACAACCAAGAATAAAACATAGTATACAACCAGAGCAAGTGACAGAGTAGTGGAGGTTCACTGCAGCCAACCATCTTTATGGAGACGGCACCTGGTATGCTTGGTTGGGGAGGGGGAGGGGGGGCACTTTGATGTAGCAGTTAGACTCTGGACTGCGAACCCGAAGGTCGTGGGTTTAAATCCCGATGAAGCTGAATTTTAAAAAAAATGACCTTTGGCTTCCAGGTCAGTCCAGTCTTAAATGAGTTCCAGGTACAGTTAAGGAAAGTAAAGGTGGCCGGCATAAAATAAGGATCTAGTATTATACACTAAGTATGTCCGAAGAGGTCTTTTACTGACTTTAACCGGATTTATGGAAGTTACCTTGACAAGCCGTAGAGCCAGACCTGCAGGGTTTCAGGCTTGTCCAGTTTGTTGCCCAGGCTGTCTGTGAGTAGCTCGGCTTTGATCTGACGCCTCTCATACCAGTGCGGGTGACCCTCGAACCAGTCTATATGCTTCAGCGTCTCATCGTCGATGAGGTACAGCTCCCCTTTTATTCTCTGCAAAGGAAGAGTCAGCAGATGTAGACGAACATGTTGTAAGATAAAGTTTATGACCACTGTGGTAGCTACTGGCTACACCAGTCGTTTCCTAATGGGCGCTACCACTCCCTAGGGAACATTGGGACGAGGGGGGGGGGGATGGCCTCGATAAAATTTAGGAGGCGCTGAACTGTCTAGGTGGCGGTACCAGCTTCAGGTGCAGTTGGATGGCATTGAAGGGAGCTATGTCAGAGGCAGTGAGACAGACAAACAGACAGACAGACAGACAGACAGACAGACAGACAGACAGACGACAGGCAGGCAGGCAGGCAGGCAGGCAGACAGACAGACATAAAACAAATTGATGAACCTTTCGTGCATTTCTCTATGTAGCAGGTTAAAATCGCAGTGATTATTTAATTGTCAAAATAAACAAAGAAATTATGACAGCCAAGTTCCTCCTTCTTATTAAAATTAATTATTGTATAGACATAAAGATATCAGACAGACCAGACGACATACAAATATCGGACAGATCTGAAGACATACAAATATCAGACCTGAAAACATACACATATCAGACAGACCAGAACACATACAGATATCAGACAAACCAGAAGATAGACAGATATCAGTCATACCAGAACACATACAGATATCAGACACACCAGAAGACAAACAGATATCAGACAGACCAAAAGACATAAAGATATCAGACAGACTAGAAGACATTCAGATAACAGATATATCAGACAGACCAGAAGACAAACAAATATCAGACAGACCAGAAGACATTCAGTTATCAGACAGACCAGAAGACACACAGATATCAGACAGACCAGAAAACATACAGATATCGGACAGACCAGATGACATACATATATACGACCGACTGACCGACAGACCGACCGACCGACCGATCGACCGACAGACCGACAAACCGTCAGACCGACAGATAAGCAGTCAGACAAGTCTGTCGCGTTCAGACATAATTCTCTGCACTCCATTTCCATTTGTTTTAACAGTGACCAGATTTCTCTCCGAGTCCCTGCCACTTAATAAGATTTCTACATGAAAAGCTGATCCTGGCTGGCCATTAACAAGCAGACGGCCACGACCAGTGTTGCCACTTTGGAACTTTTGTATCCAAATTTAGATCTTTTTCATTGCGTTTAGATCCTGTTTTTGACGTTTAGATACTAGATATTTTTCTAGATACTTTTCATATGGAGTTAGATATTTTATAGATTTTTTTTTCTTTTAGTGTCATTTTAATAATTATTGAGTAAAATATTTACAAAATATTTTTGTTTTGGTCTGGCACGTACATTGTGGTAACTGCCATTACTTAAACTTTGAACTCTCACTAAGGTCAACACTCAAATATCTGACAACCCCGGTGCTGATTAATCGAAATCGCGCGTAAATCATACTAACTTTGTTTCAACCGTATCCTCACTGTGTTGTGAAGTATAGCTGTGATGCTGACTCTGTGTTTCTTTTTCATGTGATTTTTGAAAAAATAATTGCTCACTTTCTTGTGTGGCTTTCACTTTGAAAAAACCTTTCAACATGCCAAAAGTAAAGTATGAGCAAAAATTTCGGAAAGACTATTTGCATGATGACAAAATTAAAGACTGGGTGATGGCAGTTCCTGGGGATATAACCAAGGCTCGTTGTAAGTACTGCAAGTGTGCAATTAAAGCGAAAATACAAGACTTAAAGAAGCATGCAGAGACTAACAAGCATAAAAATGCAGTTTCATTTAAAGATATTACACAGCTGACATCTGTTTTCAGAACTACACTGATAAATGAATCATCAAAAGTTGAAGGGTCGGTCGCAATGTTTTTAAGTTGCTATTGTGCAATTTCAAACTGTGACCATTTGATTGATTTGTTTAAAAACACAATTTCTGACAGTAAAGTTATGGATGATGTGAAAATGCATCGCAGCAAGTGTACACATATTATAAGAAATACTTTATTTTCTCACTTCGAAAAATATAGTTTATTATTAGACGAATCAAATGATATTTCGGTACTGAAAGTGCTTGGTGTGTGTATTATAGCAACATATTATTACAGCAACAATACAAAGTAGTTTCTACATATCTTGGACTAGTTCAATTGGACAAGTGTGATGCAGAAAGTATAGTTCAAGAACTGAAGAACCTTTTAATCAGCAAACAGTTAGACTTGACAAATTTGGTTGCAATTGGTACCGATAATGCCTCAGTGATGGTTGGCATAAACAATGGCGTTTATGCCAAGTTGAAGGAAGCTATCCCATCGTTAATACTTATAAAATGTATGTGTCATTCATTGCAGCTAGCATTATCACATGCTTCATTTGAATGTTTACCAAGGAATTTGGAATACCTTATTGCTGAAACACATAACTGGTTTTCAAAATCATTTGTCAGACAACAGCAATACAATGCATTGTATTCAACCTTAAATAATGGTTCCACACCACTGAAAATTCTGTCAGATTGCAAAACCAGGTGGTTATCAATACAACCAGCTGTTGAAAGAATTGTGAACCAATTGAATGTACAGTGATGAAAAGAATTTGGCATTCCTTCTCTTTTTACAACCTATTCTAATGGAAGTGCAAAAAGTTAATAAACTGTTCGAATCCAAACATGTTGATAAAGTTAAATTACTTGACGATCTCACTTTGCTATTTTACTCAGTTGGTAAAAGACTGGTGTTGCCAACTTCAAAAGTTGATTTGCTCACTTGCACTATAAAGAGCTATTTGGCTCCTAAGCCATACCTTGGATATCAAATTGAATCAAAAATTGATGTTTTAAAAACAAAAGGACTGTTAACAGAGAATGAAGAGAACAATTCAAAAAAACGCTGTCAAGATTTCCTTATCTCATTGTTCAAGCAACTAAAGCAGAGACTTCCTGAAAATCTAGATGTATTGAAACATATTTCACTCTTTTCTGTGAGCAACATACTTCAGCCAGTAAAGGACATACCTAAATATGGTAAAGTTATGACATTTTTAGGGGCTACTGACAATAGTTTTGCGGAAGCAGAATTTCAGTTAACCAAAATAAACTTAGTTGAATGGACAAACAAAACAGAAACTGAAGCGTTTTGGAGTGAAGTGAGACAATTTAAAGATGCCTCATCAAACAGTCCATTCTGTAAACTCTTTGAATGTGCCATATCTGCCATGATACTACCCCACTCAAATGCTGACGTAGAAAGAGTTTTCAGTGCTATGAATTACATCAAATCTAACCTAAGAAACAGGATGAAATTAGACCTCTTAAATGCTATCTTGACAATACAGTTAGGCCTGATGAGAGTAGGAAAATGCTGTTCCACTTATCAGCTCCCTGATTGTGTATTAACATAAATTGGAACAGCTAAAGCATACCAGAGTAATTTGGGATCTGAAGCTTCAATTTCATCATCCAAGCTAAGTTTATCCTGTGGATCTTGTGAAGCAGACATCAGTGAAGATGAGGACATGTGTCTATAGGGTAAGTCATTTCAATAGTTTTGTAATTTGTGACTCTTTTCATTTGGATATTTTTTTTTAAATATTTTCCACGCAAATTTAGATCTTTTTAGATATTTTTTTACCCCGTTTTGGATCTTTTTTGTCAAAGAAAAGTGGCAACACTGGCCACGACAGTGCAGCTTTCAGCCCCCGTGGGTGAGGGTGCCATTTGCAGGCTGCAATTATACAAAAAAGGGAGAGGAAAAAAAAAAAAGAATCCAGCATGTCTGCGCTAAAAACATGTGTATCAAACAGTGCAGGAGACATAAAGCTGCATACTGACATGATTACCAATGCCAGATGGTATGGACTATGATGAAATCGTCCATGCTACAATCCTTTCTTTGGAGTCGTTTTGGGCGTACTCATTCGTGGTGGCTAGTGCGCGACCGGCTTCAGCTGACGAGCCGTGCTGCTGACGTCCCTAGATCGGGCTAGCTTCTCAAACTGGGTGCCGAGGCACCCTGGGGTGCAGTAGGTGCATGTCAGGAGTGCCGCAGCAATAATAAGTAAAGAAGGCACGTAGATACTTGAAAGTTAAAATTTAAGTTATCTTCCCTCTCCACTGTCAAAAATAGTTTATTTCCTATTTGAGAATCGCTGCGTTTAAACATCGTTAACCCGACCTCATGACGTCAGCAGCATGGCCCGTCAGCTTGAGCCGGTCGTGGCTAGTGTTTCACTAATAGACTCACGCTAAAATATTCTTGGCCACCAGCTAGGAGTTGGGGCGTCCAGTAGCTTTCTTTGTTAGTCATTTATTTTACTCCAGGTTCCTATGTAGCAGGGCATAATCCTGGAAAGGGGGGGGGGGGGGGGGGGGATAGACCCGCTACCTCCCTAACAAGCATTTGGTACAAAGTGACTAACTATGAATTTTCTTCGAAGTCGGAATGCATCTGTGTATGAGAGGCAATGAACCAACAGTGCATACAAATACGCCAGATCTATAAAATGGATGCCCACAGCAGAAGTCAAATTCCGGAACAAGTGCAACACTATGTGTCTAATGGCTGAAGGTTTGAGACGGTTACACTCATCTGGCCATGAGTGCCTCTTAAATTTATCAGTTCACTGAACTGAATCACGTCTGGTACCAACAAACACACATCAAGCCGTGATACGCCTTCAAAGTCATTGCTTCTGATTCATTCATATTCGACTGTTCTCCAGGGTACATATAATCAATCATGCAGCACAACAAGTTTTAAATACATACATTTAGTATCTGCCTGTACTAAGGCTTCAACTTTAACGCTAAACGAATTGAACAAATGGAAATCAGCACCTTTAAATCCGATCCTCCTAAATACTGTCGAACTTGTACTCTAAACAAAACCTCTATCATTTATTTAATATAACTAAAAAGTTCCTCCATCGCTAAAGCTGATATACACATCTAGAAAAATAATTATGTGGTTCTTTCTTCTTAAGACTTTCTGTAATCATGGCTTATAGGGCGTCGGTGTCGTTTGGTCCACTTTACTTAGTCA